ATAAAATAATAATTGAGTATTATATGGTGAACAATAATTAATAAAATAATTATTTTATCCTATATCAATGAATAAATATGTATTCTAAAATCAAATAAATATTAGTATTACGTGTTAGCGGAATTATATATTAATTAACATGTTAATTTTCTGGCTTAAATAAACGCCACTTATTAAAAAATGTGAAATATGGATGATCCAAGCCCATTATTTTTTTGTCTAGACGTACAAGTCCTATAGAAATAATTGATTTATTATATTTATCACGTGCATCGCACGGGGTATGCACTAATAAATGACCTTAAAATTGTGCACCCCGTGCATCACCCCTGTTCACATTTTGGCATACTACAGGTCACGCACTATATATATCCCGTACATATTTTTTTTATTCATTTATATAATTATAAGAATAGATAATGACCTTAAAATTGTGTACTCGTGCATCGCACGGGCTCTGTACTAGTAGGGAGGGATAAGGGAATGATATCTTAGTAATTTAGTATGAAGCCGAAACCAAATTTGTGATGGTCCATTTCTTAAACAAGAGATTGTGTACCCAACCCATAAAAAAAGGACAGGTTCATCCCCAAAAAATGGAAATGCCCATGAAATATGTGATGAGGGCTGGCTTGTTTCCTTTAAAATTTCGATAAACAATTCAATTTAAAGCCAAAATTTAATTATATCATTCATTCTATATATATTCAATTTTTTAAAACATTTTATTTGTTTATTGTTATAATTGCTATTTTCTTGCAAATTGTTACGCTCATTACTTTATATAAAATGAGACTAGAATAACGTACAAAATGATCAGACCTAAAATATTGGGACACACAATAGGAATACTTTTATATAAAAGGTAAAAACATTCTTTTACAAATATAATTTTATTTTCAAGTAAATGTAATTTGAATTTTACTACAATTTCATACATATTCATGATTTATAACATCTGACACATTTTGAATATTCATCAAATTCAAATTACATTTAATAAAAAAAATAATGTAATAAGCTGCAAAGAAAAAAAAAAAAAAAAAAAA